GAGGACACAGACGCCATGACGTCAGTTTGGCAGGAGGAGCGACCCTTCCAGTGTACTGGGCTTGGGGCAGGTCAAGAACTGGAAGCAGTCACAACGACGACTTCTTTCGCCAAGCTGCCACTTGTCAGGACGCTTTGATTGCAGATCACTGGTTGTGGGTCTGTTATGTCAGGCTTACCATCTGCTTTGTCATGGAATGAAGTGTCAGCTGGCTCGCGCAGACCTTGACTCCTCGAGCAGCTTGACAGACCGTTAAGCTGCTCGAGCTGTCAAGGTCTGAATGAGCCGCTCGCCGCTTGGCTGGTGGTTAACAATAATAAGTTGATTTAGCAAATGCAGTGGCCTGAGTAGCTACATGGTCTGACGAGCTTGTTCGCAGCTGAGGCGTCCTGAAACTGAAACCGTTTCCTTCAGCAGTCGACGATCTGCGAGCTGCGAGTGGCACTCTGTGATAGCACCTGGGTCTCGTTTGCTGCTGCTTTGTGTTTCCGTAGCGGATGATGGGGCTGAAGATTAATTGTTGATTTGCAGAGAATTGCATGTGTGCCAAGCTAAGCTTAGGCAATTTGCAATGACATGTCTTCGGCGTCGACAACAGCTTGAGGAGGTCTGAGTCTCCTGAAACCCGCTGGCACTTCCCTATAGGTCTAGGTTTGGTTTTCGATGCCAGGAATTCGCAGGGGCTGTTTGGTGCAATGTTACGACAAGGTGTGTGCAGCTGTGTCTCATTTAGAGTAGTGGAAGTTGATGCTGGGAGAGCGGTCTTTCATTCGGAAAACTTTGTCGTTGGCGAGCAGTTGCACAGACATTGTGCTGATGGCGTCCCTCATTGCCAATGAAATTTAAAAGCACGCCTGCATGCTTTCGCAGTCGCTGTTGCTTTGCAAACTCTGTTGTTTCAGGAGAGCACTCCTTGACCTGGAAACGGGCTTGGAGCTGCACACTGTGTGGGCTGCGCGGGCTCCAGGCCCGTTTCCAGGTCAAGCGAGCGTCACTGCTAGAGCTGCAGGTGGCAGAGCCACCAAGACGGCCCCTGTCGGTGCCCTCTGGGTCGCATCTATGGTGACGCCGAGCATCGTCATAGGTGCGGCCCGGAGGATTCATGCCAGGGAAGACAGGAAGGAGTGTGCCAGCATTAAAACACTTTTGCCGAACTTCGTTGTGAAACCATGACTATGTGTGCTCTACAAATTATTCAAACATTCCCTGCGATGCGGACTGGCGGCCGTTACTCAAGGACGGACTGTCTATAGGTCTAGCCTGCTAAAGCAGCCATGGCGAAGATATCGAAACGTGCCAGGCCAGCAAAAAGGCCAAGGCGAGGACGACAATATTGGCGAGTGTGTTGAGTCTTGTGATTGAAGTTTCGATTTAGGTCAGTTTGCCTCGCACAGTTGCGATGTGCAGGACCAGTACGAAAACATGCATGAAGGTCGCGATGAAGACCTTCAAGCAGGCTCCTCGGGAGAAGCAGGCTTGTTGGCCTAAGACTGACATCCCGAAGGCAGCCAAGGATGGGCCCGAAGGCCCTACAACTATCTCTGCTAGTTATGACTGGGCCACGGTCTTTCTGGATCGGCTGGAGAAAAACATGGGCCGGGGTCTGGTCCGGAAGAGGTTGCAGAGCTGGAACTGGGATGTTATCAGCACTTTCACTGGGGTCGGCTGTGCGGAGACGGTCGCTTGTCGGACTGTTGTGTCTCTATTTGACCAGTCATTAGGGTAGCAGAGTGAAAGTGGACATCCGTCACGTGCCTTTCATACTTTCCGCCTCTGTCTTCCAGCAGGCATTGCTTACCATCCAAAAAGCGGCCGGTGCTGGACAAGCGGTGAGGCTCCGATGGGCGGTCGAGTCGGACCTCGGCGCCCAAAAGGTCTTGCTGGGCACATACGGGTCTTGCCTCGCCCAGGACATCTTTGAGTTTGACATGGCCGCAAAGACCAACCACTGCTTGCGTCACAAAATGGAGTGCCCGACTTGGCCATCGCAGCGCGGGTCCGGCTACCTGTCTGAGTTGAGAGCCTTAGTGCTGGGGATCTGTAGCACGTCCACCATCAGCATTAAAATAGTCTGCAGCTTCGGTCTCCTCCCATCATCTTAGCCGTGTCATAGGCAAGAGGCGATGAAGAAGGGGTTGAGGTTTGGAAGGTGATGGCAAAGGTTCTCAACGCGACATTTAGTTTTACAGTGTCAGGGTTTTACCATCTGGAGCTCGGCTCATAATTCAAACACAACATGTCTTCAGTTTGCAAGATGGTGCAGCTGGGTGGACCTTTCGAACATTTTTATTTTATGGGTCTCTGTGGGCCTCAACAACTCGCCAACGGTTGTATGTGTTTGAAAGGGTCTGTAGGTCTCAACTCGCCAATGGTTGTATATGTTTGAAAGGGTCTGTGGGTCTCAACTCGCCAATAGCTGTACAGGTTTGACAGGGTCTGTGGGTCTCAACTCGCCAATAGCTGTACATGTTTGAAAGGGTCTGTGGGTTTCAACTCGCCAATAGCTGTACATGTTTGAAAGGGTCTGTGGGTCTCAACTCGCCAATAGCTGGACATGTTTGACAGGGTCTGTGGGTCTCAACTCGCCAATAGCTGTATATGTTCGAGGAATGTCACCAAACGAACTTTCCACAACAAGCTTCAACATATCATTATTAGACTTCGTTTGGTGAGCAATCCCAGGTCCATGTCATGTGTATGTATGTATGTGACGGTGGGGTTAGTCTTGTCCGTCTGTTCTCCATTAAGTAATTAATAAATCAACGGATTCGAGGTCTCCTTGTGTCGGTGGGCGGGGCGCCGTGCACGAGCTACTCCGTGATGGGTCTGCGGAAGAAGTCTAAGGACAAGGTCATGAAGACGCATCGTAGGTATTTCCGCCAGTGCTACCAGGTCTTGGATGCATACCTCTTCGAGAACGTGTGTGAGTACGACCTGAAGCAGCTACGTCTTCCGAAGTCATGGAAGCAGCAGAGTGTTCGGGTTGACCCAAGGACCTTTGGACTGGGCTGTGCCAGGGCTCGCCTCTATGTTATCGCTTACAACACGGAGAAGGTCTGCTGGTCTCAGGACGTGCCGTGCTTTGCAGACATGGTGGCATGCCTGGCGGCAAGGCCTTGTCTGGGAGCGGGAGACTATTTCTGCGATCGCAATGCCAATGCGTCCTCCCTGACTCAGTCTGAGGCCTCAGTCTTAAGGACTTACGACGAAAAGCCATGGGACATTGTTGACTTGGGACAGAGGGGAGCATTTCGTCGTGGCACGCTCAACAGCTCCCACCTGCCGACCTTGACCACCAACAGCACGAAACTCTTCAGCAAGGCACTTGGTCTTGAGCCGGGGTCATGCAATCATGTGCTGAATTCTGGAGTGTCCCGCTATTTCCGATGCAGGCCAAGAAGCGGTTCATGACCGCGGACGAAATGTTTCAATCCCATGTTTTGGCCACGAACAAGGATCAGGCCAGTTGCGGCAGCCCGGTCTTGGCCAGGTCTCACCTGTCTAGGTCTTCTGCAGTGATGCTTGCCGGGAATGCAATGAACGTCCCATGTGTTGGAGCTGCTCTTCTGGCAGCTATTCTGGCCTTGCAAAGGGTCTAGATTTCGCAGCAGAGGCTGGGGAAAAGTCTCTGTCTCTCCTTGCTTCTGCCAAGCACAAAGGCAGACAGAAAAATGTGTGTGCGGATGCTGTTCTCTTTGAGTTTGTCCTTGTCAGCAAGCTTGGATGCTGTAAGTGTGTGCCTGCTGGTCCTAGGCCGACGACAATGGGGGCTGGATATCTGGCCGGAGCCTTGCGTGGGCATAGACTCATATGTGCAGTGTGTGGCAGAGGACCACGCATTCCCGAGTCGGGCTTGGTCTTTGCTCGCTCGAGGCTGGGACAGAGGCTTCAGGGCTGTTTCATTGTGTTCCCGGGCCGAAGCCTTTCCTTGAACCTGAATCCTTCAACTCGACTTTGTCTGACCGTCTGCCAGGTACAATTCGACTCTGAGAGTGGATCTGGTCTCGAGAAATCCGCTAAACTGCGGGATTCGACTGCCCCGCAAAACTGCGGATTTGCTGAGCAGGCATGGAGGGTGCTTACTGGGATCCAGTAGGCACCCTCCATTCCTGCTCAAAGTTGACACTGCAGTCGTTGCCTCTTTGCATTAGGGTTTGAATGACAGGTCTCGAGACATCAGCAAAGCTGCGGGATTTGCTGCTGTGACCGCCCCGCAAAACTGCGGATTTTTGCTGTGGTGATTGCCTCTTTGCATTAGGGTCTGAATGACAGACAGAAATCGCCTGCAGAAAAGATTTTTCAGCCCAGCCCAAACGCCCACCCAGCATACTCTATCAGGGAAGTCAGTTTACGGATTAGGTTTAGGCGTCTGTTGGGACGTGTTGCGGGAGCCGGGGGAGCCGAGGTTTAGGTTGAGCTTTCGGGGCCTCGGGGCCGAGTGATGTTTGGGCGTCGAAGAGCTTCGCGGGGCTCTGAGTGGTTGGGATTATTTTGGCGATTCCGCGGGGTCCTTGTTGGACACTTTGTCTTGAACCCGAACCCTACACCCTACATCCACCCTAAACCGGCATACTCCAAACCTGCGGTAAGTATGGCTGTTGTGGCCTGGAGGGGCTCTTAGGATGCCAAGATGCGTTGCCAAGTCAGGAGTAGTGTAGACTGGCGCTGTATTTTGCGAAGGGGTTCGTCGAAGATCTGGCGTAGGGCGTAGGGCTTTGGGCAGGGTATTTAGGGCTGACCCTCCCATAACTCCAGAAACTCTCCTTTTGAAATTGTGTTTCCACTTTTGCTTGATAAAGGGTAGGGGACAAGGAGTCCGAGTTTGCTGCGGGAAGATTCGGGTTTGGAGTCTGGGGCTGGGGTGGTGGGTCTTCAGAGCATGGCTTTTGGTTTGCTGATGTGGCACTATGTTTGCTCAGCAGACGTCGCGTTGAAATGACAGAAGTCTTAGTTGGGTTGCGTGGTTCAGAGCGAAGGGAGATGCAAGATTTTTATCAGGCATGCAAAGCGGCGCATTCCGGAGCCATCTGCCGAAGCTTGCCGTGGCTTGACATGACAGAGGTGAAGTGTCTACATGAACATGTCAAGAAGAGCAACCCCTCGACCTGAAACCCGAGAAAACCCCGACTCCTGACCGTCGCAATGACTTCATAGCCTGAACCCGAGAAAAAGAGCTCTAGTACCTCGGTTCAGTGATGATGGGTCCCTTATGCGTCACTGCGCAGTGGCATTGGATCTTTCGTCTCAGAGTTCAAGCATTGTATCAGAAAGGTTCCAGTGCATCTGTTTCGGGACTAAGTTGTCTAACCTTCCTAAAAGATTTCGGATGCTGGAGCACGTCAGTGTCTAAGCCAGAGCTTGTAATGGTAATCGCATCTCCTGATTATGGTCCCGCCAGAGTCATACAGCAGAACATCTGTGAACCCAAGCAGCCCAAGCAGACAGCACCCTGTGTTACAGTGTGCTGCAACAGTCATATCAACTCCAATGTCCACCCACATCCCTGAAACTGCTCCATGGCTCTTGCTGTTACAGCAAAGTGCCGCTTGTCGTTTCGACGGCGGGCTAGGTTGTAATGTCAAAAGTCATTTGTTGCTTTGTTCTGGGCTCTGTTGTTGCGGTGTTGCGGAGAGACCAGGGTTCTACTATAGCAGCACAAGGCATGAATGACACTGGGGTTTTCCACCAGGACTCTACTAGGATAGAACCCAAAATCTTATTCTGATTGTTAAGGTCCGTATATCTCCCCCCCTCAGCCCTGGTCTCTGCCTGAGGCTCATGGTCGACTCGACATGAAGCGTCTAGACGAGGCATCGCTTGAAAGGGCTTTGAGGGCTGCCTGATACAGCGGCGGTAAGCTAGAGGGTTTGGGTTTGGGCATAGAAGTTCTATGGGGGGAATAAAGGAATCAGGGTGGAGAAGTTCTGCTGGCTGAGCGAGGGGATATTTCTGCGTTTTCGGGAAGCCACGTCATCGCCCTCTCAGGGATCGTGCGAAAATGCTCGGAAACTCCCAGAGCCTGCGGAGCCTGAACATGTATAACAGAAATCCTAAACCCCAAAACTCTAAATTCCTAACTTCCCTGAAGCCCTAAAGCTCCAATTCGAAGCCCAAAGCCCTGAACCCTCTAAGCCCATAACCGAAATCCCCCAACCAGAAGACCGACCTCCGCACTTCCTCGGCCCCTCAGCGGAACCTCAAGCTCCGGCAAGGCCGTCCGACATGTTCTGCAGCTCAAGGCGAGACTAGGAGCGCGCAAAAACTTGTGACGAGAATAGGGAGGTTTAGGGTTGAGTGCTGTTGTCTATAGAATCTCTGAGGATGCCGCATGTGCTAGCCCCAATAAAGGTTCTTACCATATCAATGTAGGGAATTTTCCTGAATCGAGGCTTTTTGGAGTGTCTCGGCGAGGGAGTCATGTTTTTTTCTGGGCGAAACATCGCAAGCCCTGTGGTGTTGGGGGTCCAGCACCCCAGAATCCTCAAACTCAAACCACAGACCCTAAACCTAAACCCCAAACCCCACCCTAAGCCCCAAACCCAAATTTGGACTACGAGCCCTAACTCGCAAACCCCCAAGCCCAAAAAAAGATTAAGCCCCTAAACCCACAAGCCCTAAGCCCAAAATGCTGTGGCAGGACTCTTCCAGGATCCCTTTCGCTCCCTCGACCCCCGTGGCGAGTGGCCCCAGGGAGGCCTCGCTGAGGCGCCTCTGTATTTTCAATGTTGTGAGAAGGAAATAAATACGCATATGATTACATATATATATATATATATATGTATATACATATACACACACATATATATATATATATACGCATAGAATAATAATCATAAAAGTAATAACAATAATAGTTATAATGGTAATAAGAATAACAATAATAATAATATTCATTTTAATAATAATAATCATAATACTAAGAAGAAGAATAACAATAACAGTAGTATTCATAACAACAACAACAACAATAATAATACTCATCATAATCATCATAATCATAATAATAATATTAATAATAATAATAATCATCATCATAATACTACTAATAATAATAATAGTAGTAATACTACTACTACTACTACTACTAATAATAATAATAATAGTAATAATAATAATAATAAATAAGAATAATAAACACATACATACATACATGCATACATACACACACAGAGACAGACAGACATATATATATATATATATATATATATACATATACATACACGCGCACATATTCATGTAGATACATACATATGTATGTATGTATGTATGTATGTATGTATGTATGTATGTATATATATATATATATATATATATATAAGTTAAGTGTTATCTATACAAGCATATTGAATAAAGATATTGCATAAACTGAAGGTCTTGGACTTCAGCATCCGAACGGCTTTCTCGGTTTGTAGTAGTGAGCACGCAGGGTACAAGGATGGTTTACAGGATTGAGGGTGTCCGTTCTTGGTGAGCGTCTTCAAGCTTTGGCGTGTTCCTCTCTAGAACACTAGGACTACCCGACCTGCAACCACAGGCAGACGGCGACACACTTCAGTCTTCTCGGCCGTTATTAAAGAAAAACAGGATCTCCAAAACCCTGACATCCCAGCCTCGAAATCCGGATCGCAAGACCTTATCCATCAAACCCTGAAGCTGCGAAATCCCAAACCCCACAACCTCTGGATTCTGTGCATCACCGCCCGTCACCGCAGCCCCTGCACGCAGAAACATGACGAGCTTGCCCGACGCGCCGCCCGGGAGTCGCCACTCGCCTCGGGATGTCTGCTGAAAGGGGTGGTGGCTCTGTAGTTTTGAGAATTAAGGTTTCAGGTTGAGGGTTTAAACTACATGAAAGACTTCCGGTATGCTCTGTAGATTCTCAGTCTGCCTCCAGATGAAACGTTTGGATTGGAACGCAATGGTCCCATGGTCCAAACACCCTAAACCCTCAACCTCAACCAGCGTTAGTGGTCCAAGAACTTGATCGTGCGGGCTGCTAATTAGAACGAACCCGCTCCCTAGGCCTTTGGCCATCTTTAGCCAGCATGGCGCTGTGAAGTTCGGGTCGAAACCAACTCCTCTAATCTGCAAAGACCCAACTCCTAAACCCTAAGGCTGAACCCGAACCCTAATCCAGCCTCTTCCCGATGAACGGGAACCAGGCTCGTGATTGTCATGTTCTCCTGGCATCCGGCCCAAACGAGGGCCTCTGCTAGAGACCCCAGGTCCGCTGATCCGAAACCCGTATGAATTTCCATGAGAATGTACTATAGCTGCTATACTACACTTCGAATGGTACTATTTGCAATCTCAGGCACTGCACCACAGATGGTTTGGGGCTTTAGCTTCAAACCTCTCCGACAGCTCCCAAACCCCAAAGCCGACAACCTTCAACCACATCGCCCCGTCGCTCCTCTGGGACTCTGGGGGGTTCCTTCTTATAAGCATAGTATAGTATACCCCAAAGCCCTATTCGAATAATTAAGGCCCTTACATTATAATTGTGGAAAACCTGAGGACCGGAACTCGAAGCCAAAGGCCGCTACCGTAGTTCTACAATCGGCAGCAACAGATGTTTGATTTCGGTACCAAGCACAACTCCCTGTAACACATGGTCACGATTCCCGAGCAATTTCTGGCTGGGGGTTCTGTTGGTGCATTCTTTTTGTCCCCGGGAAAAGGGGTCGTGTTGGTGCTGGGGGCTTGCATGGTTTCAGGATTTGTGGCTCAGGCTGGTTCTTCTGAAGAACGACGGCCAGCTCTTGCCGTCCCTTGGATGCCTCCGTGCAGCTGACAGTTCTTCGGGGTTGCGATGTTATGGCTGGAGTCCCAACCATGCTGCATGCAATCGGCTTTGATGTGCTGCTTCCGGGCGCTTGGCTCGGGTTGCACAAGCTGTCTCATTTGGGATGTGCAAGCGTGCAGTTCGGGAGTTTGCGTCTTAGGGTCGTGGCTGCAGCAAGGCTGAAGAAGTCCGGCGCGAAGATCGCCCTCGTCGGCTGGTGGGAGAACGACATGGACAATGCAGAAGGTGCCGTCGCGGGCCATCATCATCATCGTCGTCGTCGTCGTCATCATCATCACCACCATATCATGAACAGCATCAGCATCGACAGCAGCATCATCGTCGTCATCATCATCATCAAGATCATCACCGTCGTCTCCATGGTCGTCATCACCATTGGCGTCATCGGCATCATCGGCATCAGCAGCATCAGCATCGCCCTCCATTCGTCCCTGCATCGCTTCATCCCTCCGTCCATACATCCCGTCATACCCATCAGGAGCGGTAGTTCCATGCACGGTACTGTGCAGAATCACCCGTGACATCATTGAAGTCGCATCCTGAGACAGTTTGTGCATTGCTGCTGCAGTGGTGGCGGCAATTGTTGCAGCGCCGGCAAGCACTGGCAGTAGTGCATCAGGAGGGCAGACTCAGACAGCTACTGCGGGGCCCGAACCGGTACCCAAAGCCAGATATCGTACGGAAGCGCCAAAGCCACCCTCACCCTGAACATGAAGGCGTCGGTGTGCTCTGGGGCAACAAGTCGCATACGGTGACCTTGAGGTGCTCTCGGGGCCGGCATGCAATCCAGAAGTGCTTGTGTCCCAAACAGGTTGGAGCATTTCTTATTCGAAACTCGGTCCTCGGGACTCGTAAACTCGTAAACGTGAAACAAAAACACTTCCCAAAACCGCTGGAAACATTAGAAACCCAACAATTAATGAAAATGCGGAAAGTTAGCCCTCGACCCTATGACGAGCCTTCGGCCAAAAAAAGCAGGGCTCGGATCTTCGAATCTGGGTGTTCCAGGATTCGTGGTTTAGAGCTTTGGAGTTTAGATTTAAGTTCAGAGTTCAGGTTGTGGGAATTCGGGTTCAGGGTTTAGGGTTGAGGGTTTCGACATTCCGATCCCAGACTTGTATAACTCTCGAAACACCAAATCATCGCACCCGAAGCTCCCAAGCAGAACAAAGACACCGAAAGACCCGAGTCCTCAAGTCAAAGAGGTTGGGCCCTGAGCAACACCAGAAAAGAGTGTAGAGAGTAGTGGCTTCAGCATGGGCGGTTGCGGGTTTTGGTGTTTGAGGCTTGAGGGTTTAGGGGGGGTGGGGATAGCCATGTGCAAGAAGTGTCTCTTGTGCAGGCCTCGAGTATAGCTGCGCAAGGCACTACGCTTCTACTAGTACTCAACTTCATTCAGTATTCAGACCAGATCGAATGTTTTGACGGGCTCTTCGCATCCAGAAAACATCCCTGGCTGCGAAGGCTGGCAAAGCCGGTGTGTCTTCAGCTGTCTGCGTAACATCCAGAGCCCTTTTGTCGAAATCTTCGCACGGCAGCCCTCGCCCGAGAGTTTCGGGTTCAGGGATTCGGGTCGGGACCCAAATCATACAGCGCAGGCAGGGGCTGCTAGACGTGGTCGGAGCTGAGAATCTCAGAGCTGTGCCGGGGTCCCGCATGGATCCTTGGAAGCAGTCTTAAATTCAGTTCTCTGTCTAGGGTTTTGGTTTAGGGTTCAGGCAACCCAGGTGGTTTTAGGGCTTCGAGAGTAGCGCTGGGCTCGCGGGAGGCCATTAGTTGTCTCCATCCCATAAGCTGGAGTCTGCGCGATCCTGAATTCTGACTGCAAGGTGAGATTGCTCGGAGGCGGAACTGCCGCCAAACCTGCATCTTCTTCGAGACTATATTTCTGTGAATTGTATCCGAGGACACCCGCATACCGGGTGGCATCACGGCTGCCGTAGAGGCTGCATCCTGGGCCGATGTCGTCGTGCTGGCACTCGGAGAGGGGGTGAACTTGGCTAATTTGATGCGGGCTGGAAAAAGGGGGCAGGATGATGACTCCGGAGTTTAAGAGGGCGAAGAAGCTAATGGTCATGGTGGAGATTGTTGTTGGTGGTGATGATGATGATCGTTATGCTCATGCTACGCCAGACATGATGAGTGGCAACACGAGTGATGCCGCAGTTCTACATGGGCATATTCCCAAGAGTCAAGATACAGTTTCGGATCAGCATCCCGGATGTTCAAGGCACCAGGAGGCCCATAGCCTTGTACACAGCCTTATCCCACTTCGCCGTCGTCCTCTTTCAAGACATAAAAAAATGTCTATGTATATGTATATGGTTATGTATATGTCTAGGCATATGTATGTGTATGTGTGTGTATGTGTATGTGTATGTGTGTACATACTTTACATTCACACACACACACACGCATGCATGTGTATATGTATGTAATATATATATATATATATATATATACACACACATACATACATACATACATACATACATACATACATACGTACGTACATACATACATCCATACATACATACATACATACATACATATATACAAACACATTCGTATGTATACTTTCTATATATATATATATATATGTATGCATGCACGCATGCATGTATGTATGTGTGTATGTTCATTTTCATGCAGCATAGATACATATACATACGTGTGTGTGCTCGCGCGTGCGTGTATGAATATGTGTATGTATATATATATATATATATATATGTACGGCAGGTAGCCCCTGCACCTAGGTGAACTACACCGGCGAGAGCCGGTCGCGGTGGGACATTGGCTTGCCTTCTGCTCAGTGGCTCGGCTGCGTGCTGAGGGGTCTCAGCAGTTTAGGGTTTAGGAAATTAGGGTTTAGGGATTTATGGTGTAGGGTTTAGGGATTTAGGGTTTAGGGATTTAGGGGTTAGGGATTTAGGGGGAGGATCAGGTCATCCAGTAAATTTGCTAAGAAGCAAAGTAACATTAAGGGGATCCACTGCATCGCCCAGCATGGGAATATGTTTTTGCTGCCTGTGCAAGGTGCAGGATACAATTATGGTTTAGGGCTCGCATTTAATTGCAGTTTTGCTTGAGGTTTCTAGATTTGAGGGTTCAGTGTTTAGGGCTGGTAAGGTTTAGGGCTTAATTGTGGTCTTCCTCTGGTAGGGTGTAGGGCCTATGATCTGCTAATACTCAACCCCCTTTTGCGGTGTTGGGTTGACATATGTGTCATGTTCTGGTGCTTTGTTATCTACGTATGTTAAATCGCAAGGTTCAGTGGCCCAATCAGCATGCCGAATCACCCCATACTGTCGGAGGATGCATGTTGTCTTCAAGCTGACTGGGGATTGTATGGGACGCCAATAGAGGTTTCCTAAGAGTTCAGTGCTTCATGGCCTGGGGGAGACGTGCTAAAGATTCAGGAAGGTGCACCATTGTGGCCGGCGTTTCTCGGGCACGGTGTTGTTGAGTGTCTGATCGGTTGCGGTTCGCAGCAAACTCCAAACTGTCATGTCATTGGTTTGCCTATACTTTGTCCGTCTGTGGCTTGGATGATGTGTAGTGGCTTGCATGCCTTCTCCTTGATGCAGGTAGGAGGATGCGGATTTGATGGAGAATCGTCTGTCTGTCGTTTGAATGACCATGTAAGATCATGTTTAGGCTAATATAGGGGCCTTAATGATTACCTACACTATTTCGGGGTTCCTTGTTATTGTTATTATTATAGTTTAATGGGCACTCGAAACTCTAGTTTAATTTAATGGTTAAGGTCCCTATATTCTAGTACCATCATAGTATTCCTTCTAGTAGCCCTGTTTTAGACCCCTTTCAAGGAACCCTGTTCTACTTATTAAGGCCCCTATATTTCTCTTGACCTCGCCGGCCATATTTCGTCTTTGGTCAGGCAGGAGCTTGCGGAAGCAGTCGCCCTCGCCGGCAAACCGCTGGTTGCTGGGCTCTTGTTCAGGAATTCAGTTTAAGTTACCAGAATAGTGATCCGCACTAAATAATACGGTTTCCTTATTATGGTAACTTAAGTTAGCTCCCCTAACAAGAATCCAGGTTGCCTGGCTGGGGTTTGGTGCTTTGGGTTGTTGTCGAGGGCTCTGGGGGGAAGCCGCATGGGGGGGCTGGTGTCTAGGGATAATCATTGGCTCTTGGGAGTAACAGTGTCCCGTTATGTAACTATGCCATAGTATACCGTTTTTTTAGTCAAGCACGCACGTCTTGAAAGTTTTCAATATCGAAAGGGTCCGGTGGGAATGTCGTGGTTTTTGGGCCTGGATTTTGACCCCAGTCGCAACTCCTGGAGTTCCGACTTGGGGCAAGGTCCTGGGAAATCCTTGGCCCTGAATCGCAAGCCCACTCCTGAACAAAATGGTTTTGCGAGGTCGTCCTGCTGAAGAATGGGCGCGCGCTCCAGCTGGATGGGGCTGTGAAGGACGGAGGATTTTGCCACGATGAGTCTCAGTTAAATGCTCTATAAGTGAATGTATGCGTGTATGTATATATATATATATGTAAGTATGTGTGTGTGTACACAACAGTGTAGGTGTTGATGAATCTGAAATTCGTAGATCTTTCTGTACAGACATAAGAAAGTTTTTGGCACACCCCGAAACTAGACTTCAATCAATGCAAGCCAGCATCGAGCCTGGGTTCTGCGGCTAGCACATGTATATGAATCCCACGCCTTATCTTAACGGCATCCGGATAGTGATGTTCCAATTTCGTCGGCTTCTCCTTTTTCCTTCGAGAATACCAAACAAAGCAGACACCAAGCTAGACAGTCGTACAAGCAGAGCTTCCCTTTGGGAACGTGGCAGGATGCAGCGAGCATCATGGTGACGTGGTGCCACGGCCGAAGTTAGCCTGGCCCTGACGCATCCAAGATAAGGCCGAAAGTAGCCGAAAGCCCATAAGTGTACTGAGACGTGATTGGGAAACGTTTGTGCTCCCTTGAGCTTGAATCAGTGGAGATAGCCTGCACTTCGTCCCGTAAGTCGCTGTCGGAGTATACTGGTTCTTCCAGAGTTTTTCTCTCAGTTCTCAGGGCTCTGCGGTTGTGGGGTGTAGAGCTCACGAAATAGATGTTCAGGGCTTTACTGTTTTGGGTTTAAGGTTTCGAGGGTGGTGGTTAAACCCAGAAAGCGTAAATAACGCCGAAACAACAGTAAACATCCTAAATATCCAAACGCCTCGCTCGATAGTTTGATCGAACGCTCTCGTTCCGAGTCACCCTCTTTACAACCTGATTCCAAACTTCCGATGAATCGCCCCGATTCAGGGTTTAGGGTTCGAGCACCCGGACAAGTGCAACCTATAGTGATTGTAAAGCTCCAAAAAAAGTTTCCTGGTGCTCGAAAAGGTTCTTGGGCAAGATGACCGGCTCTGCCATTGCTGACGTCCTTTTCGGCGAATCCTGGCTGTCTGCCGTCGCTCTTGCATTTCCAGAACCTGAAAGCTCGCAGTGCAGACCGAACACGCAATCTAGATTCAGAACAACCGTTCCGTGTTGTATCACGCCCTGTAAGAACCATCGAAATCTGGTCGGAACCCGAAACAGTCCGGTACGGGGGTTCAGGGGTTGGGGCTGGCAGCTCTTTCAGTGGTTCTTTGGCAGTCTGTCGTATGCGCACGTGCCGCCGCACCCTTCAGTGGTCGAAATCCCTGAACCCCAAACCCGAAACCAAAAGCCCGGATTTCCTCACCTTCAGAGACCAATAACTTGAAACGTTCCGAGCGCAAGCAGTCTCCAGCCTGGTTTCGAAGCCCCGAGTAGCCCAAAACATCCGTCGACCCTTTGTGGCAGCAGGAGTTGTCGTCGTCGCGGTAGTAATAACAACAGTGGTGAACAGCAATGGGTAAGGGCTGGTGATATGGAACTAGCAACGACAAACAAACAAGAAAGAAGTGCACTGGCCAGAAAAAGAGTATGCACACAGTTCACCGAGTGTCCCGCAGCCCATCCCAGCTCTTGACTTCACCTGAGGACTACAGCCCTTCTGGTCGACTGCCGGTAAGCTCTTTGGCACGGCTTTGATAGGCTTTCCTGTCGACCTTGCCCGGGTTCTTCTGTTCCAGACTTCAGGGCTGACGCCAACGACAGCAACACCGACAGCAAAAAGCAACAGCCGCAGAATCAACTTTCACACAACATCCGTTCAAGACTCGGAGCTTCTTTTGAGACACGAGCAGCAAGCAGTAATGCCGATGGTAACGACAATGCAGATAGCAAGAGTAGCAGGAGTATCAGACATGTTTGTCCCTACATGTAAGTGCTTGTGATGTGGCAGCTTTCAGAGGAAGCATGGCCAGCATATATCGGAAAGTAATGTGAGGAACAGCAACAATCTCGGCTTTAGAACTGATTGCTGACAAGAATCACAGGCTCTCGCATAAGCACCTTGCTGTTGGCAGCTAAGCGGACTACTTATGAAGCAGGTGTTGGGCGAGAACCTCGGATAGAACACAACACCCACTAAACGTCAACTTGTATGCATCTTTCCTCCTGATCCCGGCATGCCCCACCGAAGCCCAAAGCCCTAATTACGCCCCAGCTCTAATTACGCCCCGTCGAGACCCTAAGCCAAAGTATCGCTGAGGTTTTCCAATCAGTGGTGGGCAAGCGCCGCACCTCGGACCACCGGGCCTCTTAGTTGGGGTTTCGGGGTTTGGGTTTCGGGGCCTGGACCTTAATTTTTTTAAGCCTTACAGTTGCCAGCCAAATCTGAAACTAAGAAATCCATCAAGGAGCATGATACCACTTTCGGGGAAACTCCTCAATCAAAGAACTGGTATTGGGCTCAGCGGGCTCTCTGGAGAGTCTGCGTGATGTGGTTACATTCTGACCCGAACGGCCCTCAAACCCTCGGCCTTCCACCGCAGTGCTAAACCAATCGGGCTCTGTTTCAGGGCCGAATGCAAAAGAAAAGAAGCAGGAATCCTAGGCCTGAAGCCTGCATCGGCCCAGTCAACCTCGTGCCGTAAATTCGCGTGCGCCTGAAGCCCAAACCTCAACAGCCAGATCCTGAATCCCAAGTCCAAAACCCGCAAAGACCGAAGCCCAAAGCCTTGCCCTAACGCCTCAAGTCACAAAGCCAAGCCCCAGCCCCTCCCCAATGCCCGAATCCCGACATCTTATAACTATGATGTAGAGTCAAAGCTTGCAACCAAGGTACCACTACAACCATCGAAGTACTGGGCGTCCCTGCGCTTGGCCCAAACACTTCACGAACTGCTGGGTGGCTCGTTCTGTGTATGGGGCTTACGAATTACGGTTTAGGAGCGGGTCGAACTTCGATCTTGGGTCTATTGTAATGGGTTTAGTTTGTGAGAACGGCGCTCTCACTCTCGCAGGGAGGGTGATATGGTGGTGGTGACGATGGTGTTTACGATGATAATTAATGTTGTTGGTTGTGATGTAGGTCAATGTAGGTGACGTTTTCGGTTGTGATGTCGACATTAGTGTCAAAAGTAGATAGCGGGCTGCCATGTGGCAAAGCCACGTTTTCACGCGCGCATGCCCAAGGGTAACCTTTTCTGTAGAGCTCAGCTTGCAGAGGTGGACGGCCCGAGCAGGGCTCTTTATCCTTTCGGCCACGGCCTTACCTACAGTCAGGCCCCTTGGACTGAAACTGCTGGTTTCGGCATGATTTGATGATGCTTGTTTTTTGGGGGGAAATCCAAGTCCTGATTAAGCCGTGTACCCTGAATCGCTAGTGTTGTCCTGGGCTCATTTGCGAGCCACTGCTCTGGCACGGAGCAGCTTGTCAGTAGTACAATCATTATCGGTTTTGGGTTTGCGGCGCGTTGTCAAGGTCTCTAAACCTTCAAGGTACTGTACCTTAAGTAAGTTATAACAAAACTCTAGGTCAACTTAAACCCAAGAGCATAGCAACTCCAAATATAGTGGATCCCTCGTACCGGCAAGGATCCTGCTTGCAGGATTGGGCAGCTAGTAGATAATGTGGGGTTTAGGGTATAGGGCTTCATGAATGTGTGTGATTGCCACTTTGCCTCCAATTGACAACTTACCCCAGTTCTTTAAACCATGAGCACTAAACACCAAACGCTGCTGCAACAGGTGATCTATGAAGATCTTTGGCTCAGCAGCGACAAGCTGGATTGGGATGGCGAGCTCTGGATCCTTGCCGCGAAAAATAGTTGGCAGAGGCCCGCAGCGATCATGCGAATCACACACCCTCACAAATCAAAGCCCTCTCCGAGGAATTACATACATCAGCGGCCACAAACCCATCAATTCCCCGGGGGTGTTGGCAGCCACAACAGACCGCCTCACGCCCCAAAAACAAGCTCTCTCCTAACAGCCCCCTGAGCCCCAGAGTCTGGCAAAAGCCTTAAACCCCAAACCCCCCACCCCAAAAAGGCCCCGCTTTCCCGAAAGCCCGGATCTGAGGATTCAATGCACCGTGGCGAATGCTGGGCCGAGGTCAGTTCAGGAGGTTGTGCAGCTGCACCCCGCCTTACTATGACTTTTGAATCTTAGTTTGCTACTGTTATGGTGACAGGCGGTACTGTTACATGATCATTCGTGCTTGTCGTAGTCGTTGTTGTAGTCGTCGTCGTCGTCGTAGTAGTAGTAGTAGTAGCCGTGGCAGTGGCAGTAGCAGTCGCAGTCGCAGTGCCGGCGGCAGTCCCAGTGCCAGTGCTAGTGCTAGTGGTAGTCATCGTCGTCGTCGTAGTAGTAGTAGCAGTAGTAGGAGTAGGTGTAGGAGTAGGAGTAGGAGTAGGAGTAGTAGTAGTAGTAGTAGTAGTAGTAGTAGTAGTAGTAGTAGTAGTAGTAGTAGTAGTAGTAGTAGTAGTAGTAGTAGTAGTATTTGTAGTAGTAGTAGTAGTAGTAGTAGTAGTAGTAGTAGTAGTAGTAGTAGTAGTAGTAGTAGTAGTAGTAGTAGTAGTACTAGTAGTAGTGGTAGTAGTCGTAATAATAATAATAATAATAATAATAATAATAGTAGTAGTAGTAGTAGTCGTAGCCGAAGTGGTCGTAGTCGTGGTCGTAATAGCAGCAGCAGCAGCAGCAGCCGTCGTCGTCGTCGTCGTCGTAGTAGTAGTAGTAGTAGTAGTAGTAGTCGTAGTAGTCGTAGTAGTCGTAGTAGTCGTAGTAGTAGTCGTCGTAGTCGTATAAGTATAGCCGTAGTCGAAAAGTCGTATAGTGGTAGTCGTAGTCGTAGTCGTGGTAGTGGTAATGGTAGTGGCAGTGGCAGTAGCAGTGTAGTAGTAGTAGTAGTAGTAGTAGTAGTAGTAGTAGTAGTAGTAGTAGGAGTAGTAGTAGTAGCAGCAGTAGCAGTAGTAGCAGTAGTAGCAGCGGTAGTGGCAGGAGTAGTAGCAGGAGCAGGAGTAGTAAGAATAGTGGGAGCAGCAGCAGCAGGAGGAGCAGCAGCAGTAGTAGTAGTAGTAGTAGTAGTCGTCGTCGCCTTCGTCGTTGTCGTCGCCGTTGTAGCAATGGTAACAGTCATCGTAATGGCAATATTAACAGTATTTAGCATTTGTAACTGTAGCAAATAGAATTGGCGATTGCAGTTGTAGCAGGAATACAAGAATCATGCTGAGAAGAATAGCAAAAGCAGATTGATGGTAAGAAGGTACAGGAATGATCATAGCAATAGTAGCGTTAATGGTAACCCTTCGGAGCAGCGATCGTCTTCATCGTGATCAGCATAATGCCACTTTGCTTTGTATCGAGGCTTGTGGTAATGTTAAATGCGGCAGTCTTGTTATTATTACTATCGGTTTCATCTTATACTGGTACCAGTTCTTAGCACCCGTTATATTTCTAGTACAACGGCGAATACGAATAGCAGTTCTGAGGGTTCAATGGGCTTCAATTTGAGTTTCAATTCTTCAACAACAAGTTTTTATGAGAGGCAAACGTTGCATGGCATGCGGGCTGCGTGTCCTGTGTGGCTAGGCTGCTGCGTGTCTGCCCGGTCTTCGTGGGTTGCATTTGCAGGGTCTATGTCCACATGGTCTGCAGGAGCATTCCTTCGTTGACTGGTCTTGGGCGCAGTGCCTGCTCGGGGGATCAGGGGCCAGACTTTGTAATTGAGGCTTCTGTGTGTACTTGTAACTACAGTAACCTTGCCTTTGACACGCTCGCACACCCTTGGTCCTTCAAGTGGGGTTCCACAGTTTCCACAGGTATGTTCGCGATCGTGTGGCCAGCCGCATACGCCCGATTCGGGAGCTGCAACTCGCCTCGAAGACTGTTTCTCCCTCTGAGTACATATTGAGATGCAGGCATTGCGTTCTGGGAAGAAGCGCGGGGCTAAGGGTGCACGGTTTGAACGAGGGTATATGTCGAGGATTGCAGTTCTATGCGCGGGCCGAAGTTCTAGATAGTTGGGTTTTTTTGGCTGTGCGCTTTTGTCGTGTCCAAGGAGGCTTACGTATCTAAAGTATGAGAATGTCGGTATAGTGTTTTGCAAGTTCCTGTCCGCAGGCAGTGCTCGTATCAGTTTCGATTCTGGTTCAGGACCCTTGGGTTGCGAGACCATGAATCCCAACTTGTCGAACCCAATCTCCATCCGTCATCCGACCACTCTCTAAACCTCCGCCCAACCTTTTCTCAGCCCTGTTAAAACCGCAGTGTTGTGTCATTCACATAAAAGCCTAGATAATTACCCATACTATTTTGAGGGCTCCTTATCATAATTATGGTATCATGGGCCCCAAAGCCCTATTCTAAATAGTGTATCCCCTTTATTAACCATGTTCTTCCAAAACTGTCGATCCCAGGAAAGGCTTCCGAAAGCTGCTGCTGGAACCCGGGAAGCGCGAGACCGTGAGCTTCTCCCTGGCCCGACCTTGGACAGCACCATACGCCAAAGCCTGTCTCAATTTGCTCACACCCCCGGGTTTCGGTCTCAGGCAAATTGCTTCAGCAACCAGGGTTGGGAGGTTCAGGATCCTTGGAGACTAGCCGACTACCCACTTGATCTGGGGTTCGAGGTAATGATTGGGCAGGGTTCTCGAGGTTGGGCGGGGCTGAAGGGCAGGTCTTTTGCTACTCTTCAGGGCTTTCAGGGTTTCAGGCTGTTTACGCCTTTTGGGGAAAGGAGTCTCAGCTCAAGAGGCCACCCTTCAGCATGAAACTCCACAGTGAAACACACCCCTACATGTCTCTGCATGCCAAGTCCCCTGAACCAGTTCAAAAACCTCATGAACCCGAAGCCTCTACACCCTCAAATCCCAAGTCCTACACCCTGCAGATTCCTGGACCCTGAGACACGAACTCCTGCTTCCGAAACCGCTTTATCATCCCAGAACCGTGTTCGGATCCTCGGGCGGGGGGACGGTTCAATTCTTCGAAAGATTTCGATCGCAGGTCGCTGGGTTATCGGTATCTTGTTCAGATCAGGGGTTTGATGTTGGCCAGGGCTTCGGAGTGTTTCGGGGTGTGGATTCAGGTTTTGTTCAGGGTGCGAGAGGGAACCCAAAAGCCTCAGTAAAAGCCATAAACTCTTGAGCCATTGGGAAACTTGGATCCCAAGTGGAGAGCTTGAAAGCTTTTTTTCTAGATGCCCCCTGGTGGCTCAAGTTCCAACATGTTTGCATGAGAAGCAGCTCCCCAAGAAAGTCATGTAAGAACAAAAACTAAAGCCCAAGTAAGACAAGCCCCCCCTCAAAGCCCCCGAGCTGCCCGATGGTTTCGGAAGGTGCGCCCTCGCAAGTTTGCTAAAGGGGTAGGTATTGGGTAAGTTAGGGTATTTAATTCTGCCAGGTCAGACATGGTCCGTGATCTTTGTCGTCATTCCCATCCAGGCATCGTCAGGAGCTGAGACAGTAAGACACCCTAACCCTAAGCCCTAAAACCCTAAACCCCTGAACCCCTAAACCCTAAACCCCTCGTTTGCGTCGTTTTGCAGCTCGGTGAGCCATGGCCCCAGCTTGCTGGGTGAGCCATGGCCCGAGCCTGCCGAGTGAGCCATTGGCCCCAGCCTTGCTGGGCGTGCCATTGGCCTCGGTTCCTGGTGTGCCATTGGCCCCTTAGCTGGGTGAGCCATTGGCCCAGGATCTTTGATTGACTTGGGTGTGCCATTGGCCCCAGCAGTGCTGGGCGAGCCATTGGCCCCGCCGGGTGGGCCATTGGCCCCAGCAGTGCTGGGTGAGCCATTGGCCCCGGTCCGCCGCGTGAGCCATTGGCCCCAGCAGTGCTGGGTGAGCCATTGGCCCGGTGCGCCGGGTGCGCCATTGGCCCCAGTTCTGCTGGGTGAGCCGATGGCCCCGTGCTGCCGTGCCGTTGGCCCCAGCTTTGCTGGGCGAGCCATTGGCGCTGGTTGGGTGTGCCATTGGCCCCAGCTTTGCTGGGTGAGCCATTGGCCCCGGTGTTGGGTGTGCCGATGGCCCCAACCAGTGCTCGGGTGTGCCACTGGCCCCAGCTTTGCTGGGTGAGCCATTGGCCCCAGCTTTGCTGGGTGAGCCATTGGCCCCGGTGTTGGGTGTGCCATCGGCCCCAGCTTTGCTGGGTGAGCCGATGGCCCCAACCACTGCTCGGGTGTGCCACTGGCCCCAGCTTTGCTGGGTGAGCCCTTGGCCCCGTGCGTCAGCCATTGGCCCCAACTTTTCTGGGTGAGCCATTGGCCCCGGTCCGCCGGGTGAGCCATTGGCCCCAGCAGTGCTGGGTGAGCCCTTGGCCCCGGGTTGCTGGGTGTAGCCACTGGCCCCATCGGGTGTGCCATTGGCCCCAGCTGTTCTGGGCACTGTCGGGTGAGCCATTGGCCCAGCTTTGCTGGTGAGCCATTGGCCCCGCCTTAACCCTAAGCCCAACCCCAAACCCTAACCCCTAGACCCTGAAACACTAAAACCCTAAGTGGTAGTCAGACTCATTCTCGCATAATTTCAATTTAAATTCGCGAAGGTCAGACAACATCGCTGGTCTCCTCGACGATGTGATGGCGCCGTGGAGGTGGAGGCTGGCGTTTGCACGCACCTTTCGGCCTGTGCTGTTTGATTGACTTGCTTGCAAGCTCCTTTGACCGTCTTGACTGCAGGCAGTTCGGACCATCAGCTAGTCAGTCTCAGTGTAAGACATCGGCGATGATTAGATTTCAGATTATGACAATTGATATTCAGGAGTTTCAATCGGTATTTCATGACTCGTCTGACTGCGTGTGGGTTTGAGTGAGTCCTCTAGCTGTGGTCAGACAGATTTTTGGCCATGGTGCGCCAGCGCAAGCCCGAGCTCAAAGGGATGCCGCACTTCAACACCAAGCGTCAGACTACGAGGAATCAGCCACTCCCCCCGGTGCCTGAGGAGGAGGGCGCTCGTAAGACGACAGAAGAGCCGACGGGCGCTGAGCCGAAGGACGGCATTGGTCAGACGCCGGTGACGAAGATGACGACGAGGTCACCGTCGAGGTCAAGGAGCCCCAGTCAGACGAATTACACTCCGACTGAGCCGGCTATGACGCCAACCTCGCCGGTGTCGTCACCGTTCGAGGAAAACCCCAGAGAGCGTCTGACAGTGATCGAGCCACGTCTGACGTTCAAGGCCGCGGCAAAGTCAGAGAGCGTGGCATCGGGATCGAAGGCAGCGGCGTCAGATCCAAAGGCCAGGGGCATTCATGCGGACCTGGTGTCAGACTCACCAGGACCAACGCCAACCCCGCCAAAGGCCAAGCCGATGACGTCAGACCACAAGGTCCAGGCCCCGGGTCCGAACAAGAAGCAGAACAGACGGTGGAAGGTCAAGACGACGTCAGAGATCGGGGCGGACCGGGAGTGGCAGTCGTGGCAATCCTCATCGTCGGACTGGTCCTGGTCGTCGTCGTCCTGGTGGAGGTCGTCAGACTGGTCATCGGCGTCGGCCTGGTCTTGGTCAGACTGCGCGCAAAGGGAGCCAAGGGAGCAGCCGAGGCAGCAAGAAGACGCCGCACAAGTGTCAGACGCCCTGGCTCCTAGGCTTGAATTTTCAATTCAGTTTAGTTTGGTATGAAATTGTCAATCAGCGTGATCATAAATTAAGTTGATTAACAGATTATTATTTTTATTAAACTTCTTATAAACAGTGTTATGGTTTAATCTGTTGCTTTGAATTAATTATTCAGTTTGGTTTTAGAAACCAGTACGTTTGTCAGTCAGCGTGGTTATTTGTTTCGTCATGCTCGGCCAATCTAAGGCACGGCTTGCCGACAAATATTTGCAGGTGGTCGAGGAGAAGCAGGTGGTGTCAGACAAGTTGGGCGTTTCTCTCGCGATGACCCATCTGGCCCAGAGCCGCTGTGCTGGTAACATGTCAGAGCAGCAGTACAACACCCTGGTTGGCGAGTACTTGTCGGGTCAGGCTGGGATCCACAGTCCAAATATAGATTATTATCATAATTTATAATATATTATAGGTCCGCAACGTAAGTTTTTAAGTTTGGTTTATATGAACTAGATTTAAGACTATTGCAGGACTACATAGACATTGGCATAAACTTTGGATTTTAGTTATTAACCGTTGAACTCACAAGCCTTTAACGCCATTATCCTTTAATCGTTTCCCTGTCAGAACATCGCACGGGCAAGCCCGCTGCCGCCGCCCTTGCCAAGTCAGACTCTGCCCCCGCCTCCTGGTCAGACCATGAGTTCTGGGACTCACTTGGTGACGCCGGCAAGCACGATGACCGAAGGTCAGACTCCAGCTGCTGCGTCGCCGATCATTACCCAGCCAGTTGGGACTCCAGGTCAGACGAAAGCGCAGGCGCCTTTTCCGGCGAAGGCCGCTCCTGGCCGTTCGCCTTAGTTAGACAGATGTTCACAAAGCCGTGGAATTGGGGTCGCAGTCTGACAGACAAGACTCGTCACGTCAGACACTGTTGGCAGCATTTGTCAGACAGTGAAGACGTCCCCGTCCCGTAAGATTGCAAGAGCACTTACGGTTAGACTGACGGCATTCAGACAGCAATTCAAAGTAAAATTGCCAGACCGTGACTGCGGATTGTGTGACCGAGCTGCACCTTTGCCGTGTTAGCATTGATTGTGCACGTGCAGGTTGGGGCGAGATTGTCAGACATCGCTGCCTTGGCCTTGGCATTGGTGTTGCTGCCAGAGTTCGGAGTTGCTGGTGAGTGCTTGATTGATTCTCTGTGGCCCAGGTGTTTTGGTACATGCGGCACTGTCGACTGCCTGGACGAGGCAGGACATTGAGATGCATATTATTTCTCTTGCAAGTTCTTGATGTCAGAGTTTGTGTGCCAAATCCATGAAACCTGCCTGCAGTCAGATTTTCACTCAGGGCCTTTGAGCAAAGTTCAACGGCCTATTATTAATGGCGGTCCGGACCGTAGTAGTAAGATTGAAAACGTCAGTGTCACAGTGTCAGATCTTTTTAATGGCCACGTTCTCACTGCATTGCCTAAGCCAGCTAGGGCCTATCAGACAGACACTTAGTGTAGGTCAGAGCGAGTCGGACGGCCTCAGGCTGTGACCATGTGAGTCTGAGTCTTGACTAGTCAGACCGTTGGTTTCCAGCCATGACAGACATCGACACCATGACGGTGGAGTCCTTCACTGTGGAGTCAGACACAGCTAGTGTCAATAGCTACAGTGTTGTGTCGTCGGCCTGGCAAACAGTGGTGCCGGAATGTCAGACTGTGCCAGTGCAGAATCTCAGTCCAGCTGCTGAGTTTTTGGGAGGGTCTTCTGATGTTCGTCAGACTGCGACTCCAGCTTCCACACCTCTGATAGTTCCAGCTTCTGATGCAGCATATGGTCAGACTGTGACTACAGAGACGGCCGCCCCGGAGACAGCTGGTCCGGTTTCTTATGGTCCCAGCCCGGCACCGGGTTGCTGGGCAGCGACTCAGCCCATCAGAGGCGTCGCAAGGACCATAATGCCAGACGGACGACTGGACCCACCTATCGCGGAGGACGAGACCAGGTCAGACTTCAGCTTTGGCTCCGGGTCACACCTTTATCCCCACTTGAACAGCGGTGGTCAGACTCAGGATCCTTTTGTCCACCAGGGTGGCGAGCCCAAACTGTCCGTCGTGCCTGAACAGGCCCAGTTGCAGTCAGACAGCGCCGACCAGAAGTTCTACGATGGACCTAGTCAGACGGCTCCGGGTCCCAGTCAGACGGCTCCGGATCCCAGTCAGATGGCTCCGGATCCCAGTCAGACGGCTCCGGATCAGGCTCCATGGTTGCCGGGACCGAGCCAAGCAGCGCCGGGAAAAGGTCCCCCATCTCGAAGTCAGACTTCGACGACAGGGCCCGGCAAAGGATTTTTTGGCAAGGCCAGACAGCCGAAGGGCCAGCGCTACATGCCGCCAGGCCCGAAGACGGTCCTCACGACCAATGAAATGGACATGTCAGAGATCGACGTGTGGCAGCAGATCCTCAAGAAGACGTTAGACTCACGAATGGAGCCACAGGAGTCCAAGTTGATGCACGATCTCGTCGGACAATGCTTCCTGGTTGCATTGCTACACCTGTTCGTGTGAGATTGCTTCGATTCAGTTCACGAAATTCATCAATGCCTGTTGTGTTGTTCGTGCGCAAATTTCATGATTCAGTGTCTGAGGCTGGCGGAGAATGCCCAAGGTGCCGGTGCCAATTGCGCCCAAGGCCGAGAAGTCAGACGAAATAACCAGTCTCGTCGCTGGGATTAAAGATTGAGTCGTGAATCATGTCAGATCAATGTCTAGCTGAGTCTAGCTGTACACAGACGACAACACACCGACTGAGATCATGGACCAAGTGGCCGACCTGTCTCCGCACATGCACTTCATACTGCAACGGTTAGAGTGCGATTCAACCTCGTACGCTGTGCCTCTTCTGAATTCGCCGCAGACATTCACAGAAGTATAAGTTACCAGTAATAAATTAATTAATAGTTAAGTTGAACTCGAATTCATGTTGCTACCAAGGTTGTGCTTGCGATCATGATGCACCCAGCATCCCGATCCAGGGGTGAGGGTTATGCGTCAGAACTGACGATAAAACTCTTACGTAACTTGGCTGCAGTAGGTCTGTCAGAGTCATTCAATCACATTCTCAAGTTGAGGCCGTCGCATGTCAGACAGAAGTTCATGCTTGCTACAATTGTCTACCAGACCCAGGCCAATGGCTTCAGTATGACGAGGCCCACATGTACCAAGACCCCAACATGGTCATCGCATCTTGGGGTCACGAGAAAAATTATTTGCTGAGCTGCTGGGCTGCATGTCAGCTTGCCAGTTGTGCTGCTGCTTTAGCAAATTTTTGACAAAATTCTTGACTGCTTTGTTGCATCTAAGTGCGGTGCCACCCACAAGTGTGGGACTACCCGAAAGACATGGTGAAGAACTGGTACAGGCCTCGCAGGCTTAAGGACGCCGAGTGTCAGACAGACCCTTGGTTCAATGTCAAATTTCTTCATTGACAGCTTAGGCTTTGCAGCTGCCAAACACAGACACTTCGACAGAAAA